TTAATTCTCAGACCTGCCCTAGTGGTGCGAAGATGGTTAATTATAATGCAAATTATGATCAAAATAGAAGAAAATATGTATAATTATAACAAGTATTTTTTTTTTAAATTTTTATTGGCAGTGCAAAGATGGTTATGTCGGATGAGGAAATTACACGGATCTTCAGAATTAGGAAGACAGTGATGCAGATGCTGAGGGATAGGGGTTACACAGTAGGTGATTTTGAGATCGATATGTCGAAGCATCAGTTCCTTAGCAAGTACGGAGAGAACATGAAGAGAGAGGACCTTGTTATTATCAAAGAATTGCGCAGCAATCCCTCTGAAAAGGTCTACTTTTATGTGGATTTTTTTGCTTTTTCATCAAGTTTAGTTTGTCAGATATTTGTTATCTTGAACTCAAATAGCTTTAAGTTGCATGAATGAACAGATTATTGTGAGTATGATTAGGTGTACTTTCAATATGCAATCTTCCACTTTCATCAGCTGAAAATAAGTTATCGTATTTATTATACTGCAAAAAGAAAAAGGAAGTGTGCAGCACCGACGTTATTTTCCCCATAAAATTAATGGATGTCATTTTTGTCTGTCAAAATTCCATCATGAGCTGCAAAGAGCAATGCTGTATGAAATCTTAGAACTGTTAAAAGGAAGAAGAAATTTTGGGTAGAAGTTCTAAAATGTTTGAAAATAGTACACAATTGGAATGATAAAGAAATCAAATATTTTCATGAAGCATACAGGAGAGTTAAGAGCCATATTCAAAACAGTAATGAATGATGAACAGAAACTTATATGAGGGATATATACTGGTCAGAAAGCTCAATGAATTCTACTGCAGTTAAGAGGATTAGAAGTGGAGAGAGGGAGTATCAGTTGAAAGCATAGAATAAAGCCTTATCGAGAATCCATTGTCCACCTTCCAGAGTGCTCCACTTTAACTGGGCAGCACACAATTCTTTAGTTGCAGGCTTCTAATTGAGAATATAACTGCAACAAAATATTTGTATCACAAACGTGATTGTCTTTTTTGGTAAGAAGGGTTTTGCACTTTTGATATGTTGGGTGGCATTCTTAGATACTGTCTTTTTCTTGAGCTTCTTTGATTGCTTAAAACTTCACCACGGTGATTGGTGTATTCGAAGGGCTATTCCTTATGTGAATCAAATTAAGAGTAATCTGTTGTGTGATTTCGTGTTGTTTCTTTTTGGTATTTGGAATCTTTTGATAAAAGATGCTTTGTGCAACCTATTTACTATTTCACCTTTGCTTTTCTGTTTTGTCACCAGATATATGTGTTCTTTCCCGAGGAGGCGAAGGTTGGTGTTAAGACAATGAAGACTTATACCAATCGTATGAAAGATGATGATGTTCATCGAGCAATCTTAGTTGTTCAGCATAATTTAACTCCTTTTGCTCGGACCTGTATAAGTGAAATATCTACAAAATTTCACTTGGAGGTTTTCCAGGTGATTATTGATATTTTCTTCACATTACAGATTTTGTATTAATATGTGAGGAAATTTTTTGAGTAGGATGGAGATATCATGTGCAAGTTTTCTTATAGTTATTGTACATATAGGTTTATAGAAATCATAGTCCCTAACCAATGTTTTTGATAGAAGTCGTCCCCAACTATTTTTGTGTGACCTTAGTACCAATAGACATATTCCGTCCATTTGACCATTGAAGGTTCCAATTTTCTGCAGAAAAGATCACCGTATCCTTACTTCTAGTTAAGGGGAAAAGAATTTCTATCTGCTAAATGAATGGAACAGGTAGATTCATCAATCCCTCAAAATTAATCTAAATGTGAACATGGATTGAATAGAATTAATGCAGAGTTTCACTGACATTATTATTTGACTTTGATTTATCTGGCATAACCTTTCTTGGGATATATCTCTTCGTTGGATCTGGTGTTGTGGTGGTGCTGGGGCTCTTTTTGGTAGATGGGGGGAGGAAAAGGGACATGGGAGGCTGAAGGAAAGGCGACAAAATAGATTGAAGAAAATGGAGCCCGCAGGTCCTCGAGAAGAGGAACCTGCCAGCAGCGGGTGGGCGCCGTTGACAGAGTGAATGAAAGTGAATTTGTTCTGTTTCTTTTTTTTTCTGCAGAATATCTGACCATCTAATAGTCAAATAGATAGTTACTGGGACTGATGACTCACTGAAATAGATAGGTTGAGGATTACGATGCTACAAACACTATAGGTTGGGGACTGAAGCTGCAAACTGAGAATCCTTTCACTTGTTCTATTGATTGCTTTAATTATGCCCGAACTCACTCTTAAGTTATTGTTTTTAAGCAACTCGCAGATTATTGTATAAGCACATTTTGAATTTTGGAGAGAATGTCATTGATGCTGATGCATACTTACTGCAATGATACAGGAGGCAGAGTTGTTGGTCAACATAAAAGAGCATGTTCTTGTTCCCGAGCACCAGCTGCTTACTCCTGAAGAAAAGAAGACTTTGCTAGAAAGATACACTGTGAAAGAAACACAGGTTTGTGAATGGCTCTCGTTCATTCTTCTCACATATTTAATGTTTAGTTTTAGTGAGCCGAGAACTGGCCCAATTTCTTTCGAGCTTTCATTGTGAATCTAGGCTTGGACTTACATATTTGGCTAAAGCTTAAAAAGTTTAGTTATGGGTAAATGAGCAAGTTTCAAAATAAGTTATACACATTCACAATTTGGTTTCCCTTGCTATTATATTGTGATGCTGACTAGTAGTTAATTTTGCTTTCAGCTACCCCGCATTCAGGTAACCGACCCAATTGCAAGATATTACGGTCTGAAGCGTGGACACGTCGTGAAAATTATCCGACCAAGTGAAACTGCTGGGCGTTATGTAACTTACCGATATGTGGTTTAAATCTTTTAGCATTGTAGTTTGTTAGTTGTTCCAAAGAATTGAGGGCATGCTTCATGGTGGAATGCAAGTATTAAACGAAGGAATAAAATGTTAAAATTTCATCTCTTGTACCATTTAGCATGATCCAAGACTACGTTACGTACCCCAAAGAAGTCACGTTGTTGAAAAAGGCTTAACTTGATATTTTGAGACAAATTGAGAATACGTTTGGTGTTTTGAGAATTAAGATTCAATTAAAAGTAATGTATTAAAATTAAGAAATTATACTCATAATTAAGTATGAATAGTCTAAAAATTAGTGATTGTAAGCCGAAATCCTTCGATGTAGTGAGAAATTCGGGTTCAGTCAAACCAAATGAACACCAACTAAAGCTAGTTCGATCAACAATTTAGATGCTTGGTTGTCTTTAAGTTTTTAACCCACAAAGGATCCAACAATGGTGATTAACTTGCACCCACAAAGGAGGAGAAATAGAGAAAGCAATTGGAACCTCAAGGAAGAACCAAAGACGGCCACACTCGTGTTTTTCTCTCTATGCCAAAGTTAACACACAGCCATTGAAAATGGTAAAAGGAATGGATATTTAGAATAGTGATTAGATCACCTTCAAATGGCCCAAGTCAAGTGCAAGTGGTCCAACTAACAAAGCCCCAACTTACCAAATAAATGGGCTAACAATTCAAAGACTAAACCAACCACAACTTGGTTAAAGTTCATATGGGCCATTCAAAAGTGTTGGGCCATTAACTACTTAACTAAGCACTCATTTGATACCCATTATTTTCAAGATACATTTTTCCCTATCTTCTTTTCGACACATTCTTCGCTAAAATAATATTACATGCTAATCCAAAATATTTCCTTATTTTTTAACCACACTACACATTATCTATTAATCTACTATTCCAAAATGTATTCTTATCCAAATAATGGGCTTAAACAAGCTCTAAGTTGCTTTAAACGGCCAAAGTTGTTTTCAGATCGAGCTAATCACTATGGTGTTGATATAATTATTACATTTATCGGCCGAAATCTATGAAATTTACTTCAAAACTTTTAACATCATTGTTCAGGGTTTATTGAGTATCAAAATCCAATAGTAATAATATGTTTTAACAAAATTAAAATTTGTAACTAGAAACATGGCAAATATTCTATCTTGGTCAGACGTCTTGCCCCAAATTTTAATATTTAGTGTGTGTTTGATAGGGATTTTTTGGGGGAAGAATTGATTTTGAATAGTGATATGATGAGAAATGTGTGGTTGAAAAAGAAGATAAGATTATTGATGTGATAGAAAATATTATTTTATTGAAGAATGTGTGGTTGAAAATGAGAATTGATTTACTGTTGAAAATGAGAATTTTTACCAAACATACCCTNTTGATTTACTGTTGAAAATGAGAATTTTTACCAAACACACCCTTATTGTTCTATATCTTTAATTTTAGTTCTTGTTTGAGCCCCATTTTGAAGAAAAAATGTATTTTGAAATGATAATTTTTTGGAGAAGGTGTAATTGAAAACGAATTTTGAAAAAAAAATTATTTTTTGAAATAGTGGGACTCAAACAATGGCTTAAATTGTACTTAAAAGAATAAGTAATATTAAACTAATAAATAAGTAAATGAAAAAAAGAGTGAGAAAATTGAGGTATTTTAATTTCACGTCTCACCTTCTACAATTTCCTGGTTGGGCAAGGGACGAGGACGACCACCCCTTCCTTTGCCATCCCTAGAATTATAATTTTCGTATTATCAAATATTTGAATAATAAAAATATATGGCGAGTACATGATCGGAAGGTGCCTCAATTGCATACAATACTGTACTTCGAATTGACTTTCAAAGTTGTACAGGTGAATTCAAAGAGACTCTAACTGTGGAAGAATATTAGGAACCACTCAACGTCCATCCTATGTACACGTGTCTATTTGGTATACGTGTGTTCATTTTTCAATATGCTCTCGTTTGGTAGAAATAAAAATTCAAATTTTAATATGAGTCAACAATTAATTTTAATCACATATTTTTATCAAAATATTGTTGAATCACTGTCTCTATTTGTATAAATTCCCCCAAAGTGTGTGTCCATCGCATCAGTTCTTACACTAACAGAAAATGAGACCATCACTAGCAGAAATTGGCTGTGGATCATATGATCATCAAATGCACCACCCTCATCAAAAATCCATTTTCTTGCCAACTTTATGCAAAATATCCATCAAAGACGTTAAAACAACCCACTCAAAAAATCCATCTTCGTCATTCTTGAATGACCCTTCATCCCCTAAAGTTACCTGCATAGGCCAAGTTAAGAGAAACAACAAAATCAGTGCTTATCCCACCACCACTGCCGCCTCCAAGACCACCGCCAACCACCATAACACCACCAAACACACCCAACTGAAAAGCTTCTTTTCTAATAAAAACCTCATGCCAGCCAACACTAGTGGAGGTACAAGAAGGCACAAGATCAAGGATGTCCATAAGAAAGTTAATATCAATGAACTTGACCCGCCGTTGCCGGTGGTGAAGAGGGTGCGTCCACCGGGTGGCAGCCGTGATACTGTGAATCTATGGAAGAGAAGATTTGATGGTGTGGCACTGAAAAATTTACAGATTGAACAAATTCATTTGCATATCAAGAATTTTCTTCCACCGACTCCTGTTTGATGATTGGATTTCTTCAATTCCACATTAGGTAGACCGTAGACTTTCAGTCTTTGGCATGATTTTCACTTTGTTGTACTGTGAATGAATAAATTATAAGATTATATTTTTATTTCTTTTTTATGCCATTTTAATAGGAATTGCCAAGATTTGTGTTTTTGCACATTATTTCTTTGGGAGTGTGAGGAGGGGAATGTACCACTAGTGACTAGTTAGGAGTCTTCTAATAGGACACAGAAGATATTACCTATTTCGTGTCTGGTGGGGGAATGGTCGACTAGTTTAGGAGTCTTCTAATAGGACACAGAAGATGATATTACCTATTTCGTGTCTCGTGGGAGGAATGGTCGACTAGTTTAGGAGTCTTCTAATAGAACATAGAAGATATTACCTATCTCGTTGGGTTTAAAATCAGATTAAAATTTAAGTCAAAATTAACATTAATTTTAATCACATATTTTATGACATTCACAACTTTTCAACCATACATTTTATTAACCTTACCAAAATATGATAAAAATTCGATTTTAGTCTTCACTGGTTCAACTTTAATTTTTAACCAACATTTTTCTCATAATTCACAACTTTTTTCGATTTTTAATCGCACATTATCATCATCAACAACTTTTGTCAAAATTCGCTAATTTTTTTAAAAATTTTTGTATCAAAAGGCTTGTCAATTAACCCGAGTACAGAAAATCCTCAAGCATCTTGTGAAAAATACATTGGTTTGTCATTAGAAGTGACATGTTGTCACCATGGTCCCCATTTTGGAAAAGTCAATTATTTTGGCACCTACTAGACTTTGTGACCAAATTTTTTGTCACCATGGGCCCGATTTTGGAAAAGTCTAGTAGATGGGATAGTAGAAAATAATTGAATTTTGGAACGAAATTTACATTTTTCTACCATAATTTGTACTACTTGTAATTCTCAATACAGAAATATATTTTTAGGTATCATTAACTAACTTCTTATCATCAATCTCAATTCTACAAACAAGTGTATATGTGGTTTGAGAATAAATCAAATTTCTTTTGAAGAGAGTGCTCGACTACATGATATTACAAAAAAACCTTATAATATGATTTTTTAATTAATTGACTATAAGTAACAGTAAAACATTTCAGTTTTAAATTTAAATTGAAACATATTCAATATTAAATTTAGTCATATTGGAATTTAACAGTGCTCCTAGACCATCTAATATCAATAATGACAATTAAATAAATTGATGATAAGCATACAAAGTGCTAAATATTTGCACTTAATGTGGAACAATTAGAAGAGAAAATCGCAAATCAATTGGAAAAAAAAAAAAAAAGAAAGAAGGATCTATGAAAATGCACGTAACTTTCAGCTCGAGTGTCAGATTTACACAAATAAAATCAGCAAGTATTTTTTGATTCTATGCATTTTGGCTTAATTTTCTTAATGCGAATGTGCATCGTAAGACGCTTGTGTATAGGAGGACAGAGGCTAAGCCTCTCTTGTGACGATTGGCCTTCGGCCAACATTGTCAAATTGTTGAGATCAAATTCTATCGTTCAGGAGTTTGTTTTAGAAATTTTTTTTTGTTTTGAGTCAGTTTAAGAGTAACTTTGTCATTTTAGTAGTTACTGAGTTTTATTCAGATTTGTTTATCGAATTAGGGGTTCAATTTAATTAGCATTCGTTTTAACTCTACAAATATATATTAGGGGTTTGAAAACCCTGCAGATATTTTTTGATGAATAACATTACATTTTTTCGTTAATTGGCTAATTCCAATATTTCTCACATCCGTTCTTATGTTACAAATTAAACCATTTTATTATTTTTCACATTTCTGTTCTGCGTCCATACATCACTAGAACTCTAAAATTAATATCGCATGTCTATTCTACTAGGATATATTACAACACAGAGTTTTAAAAATTTAATTTTACATAATAAACTTTTGAGATAGTCATAGAATCCGAATTAGGCAGTGATGCTATCATATATAATAGAGTATAATAACGAGCACTTAATCTATTAAACGAAACCCAACTCACTGAGTATTTAGTAGAGTATAACGAAATGTGCATCATGATTGATGAGAGGGTTAAAACTCAGAACAATAGACAATGGTTCGACCCTACTCATTGAGTAGGATTGAGAACATTATAATCCAGTGCCGGTCCTGGTCCAATGCAAGTAAGGTCGCTGCCTTGGACCTCATATTTTAAGAGACCTCTTAAAAATAAAAAGTCCAAAAATTGTCCCCAATTCAAAACCCCTCAAATCCCTTCAAAAGAAAAAAAAATTGGGTAGAGCTGCAGAGAAGAAAGAAACCAATTGTCGGATACTCGAACCGCTGATCTTTCTATTTTACTTCCATTCAATAGTAATCAGTCGAGCCAAGAGAGGATATTGTATCCCATCAAGAGATTATTTTTCTACAAGTAATTTGAATGAAAAATCCAACCCTTTATAGAACTTGAGATTAGAAAATGGTGGCATAGCTTTCGCGCAAAATTCTCATAGACACGGCCATCGCTTGACGCTTAGGATTCCTATTAGGCTATCCTCCTATGAACTAATCAAAGGAACTCCATCATTTATCATGTAAATTCATTGGTGTTATTAATTAGATTATAACCCATCATATTTAATTAGTTCAAGATTCAGAAGTCCTTAATTCTAATGATTTATGTACTGTACTGTGTACACATATAGATATCAGCACTAATCATCCAATAAAGAAAATCCCAAAATTAGGCTAAATCCTCATGTAAGTGTGATACTTTTAATCTTTATACTAAATCATGATTCAATAGTATGTATTGTCTCTGGAACTATTCACAAGTTCAAAATGTAATCATGGAAAGTGTGAGTTAATAATGTGAAAAGTTGTTGTGAATGTCATTTTGTAATCATATTTCACACATGAAATAACAGGCTTTCTGAAGGAAAGAAACGTACGTTGTTTTCCGAGTTTGATGATCACAAATACATTGAGTATCAAACACTTTACAAGATCTTGCATGAATACTCTTGATTTGTAACTCAATCTGCTATGAGATATAGAAACATTGAATGAAATTGTAATCTAATTTCGTCGAAACCATCGTATTAATAATACATGGCACATTGACATTCATCCACATGAATAGAAGCAAAACCCCCCTTAATTTGCTGAAATAGTTTTTTAATCCTTCTAGTTATTTGCTCAATGGGGACTTTTTTCTTATCATCTGTAACTACATAGTTGTTGGTCATTTATCATTGTTGAATCCTTACTTTTTGCAAAAGTTTGAGAATTTTTCATTCAGACTTATCAATCGGGTTTTATTGCTCTTTACCTATAATTATGTTTACACGAAAATTTGAATCTGGATGTGCCAAAAGAAAAGGAAGAAAAAGGTTGAAAACTTGGTTAAATCTCAAGAGGGGGCACTTTTTTAGTAGTAGTAAAGGAACACATAACGAAGACGTAGTCATTGAAAAAGAGTTTGATGAGAATGATAACATAAATAATACAATTGAAGAAAAATATCGTTTGATGAATGAAGCTGTATCTACTAACAGAGATAATGAACCATTTTCCCTTGACCTTATTGATCTAGCAAATTGGGAAAATATGAATACAAATTTAAGAGATTTAATTGCAATGAAAAGTCTTGTAAGAAAAAATGATGTGATTTTTTCAAACGATGTAGCAAATCGACACTTCTCATCTACACATTATGTTCGACGATTACCTAATAGAGAGAAACATGATAGAAAATGGTTGATATATTCAAAAAGTTTGGATAGAGTATTTTGCTTTTGTTGTAAGTTATTCAAGAATGAGGGGATCATAACTCAATTGGCCCATGATGGAGTAAATAAATGGAAAAATATTGGTGAAAAAATTAAAATGCATGAAGTAAGTTGTAACCATATCAATAACATGATTATATGGATTGAAATGGACTTAAAATTTGAAAGAGTAAAACAATTGATAAAAGTATGTAAGAATAAATCAATAGAGATATAGAACATTAGAGACAAGTATTACTGAGAATAATATCTGTGAAACTCTTGTTGAAAATAATTTAGCATTTCGGAAAATAATGAGAAGATATACCAAGAAAATAATGATATCTTCTTAAACATAATTCAAATGATTATTGAGTTTGATCATGTAATGCAAGAGCATGTTAATCGAATCCAAACTAAAGAAATTCATTATCATTATCATTATCATTATCCAGGACATAAAATTTAGAATGAGTTGATACTTATGCTAGCAGATGCGATAAAAAAATAATAATTGAGAAATTCAAAAATTCTAAATACTTTTCTGTTGTACTTGATTGCACTCCAGATATGAGTCACGAAGAACAAATGTTTATAATATTGAATTGTGTAGATATTTCAGCAAGTCCAGTTAATGTTGAAGAATTCTTTTTAGGGTTTTTATTGGTGGATGATACATCTGGTAGGGACTTTTTGATGAACTTGTGGGTTCTTTGAATAATCTAGAACTTGATATTGATGATCTAAGGGGTCAAGGTTATGATAATAGTGTTAACATGAAAGAAAAACATAAAAGAATTCAAAATAGACTATTACAACTAAATCATTGTGGGTGTCATAGTCTTAATCTTGCACTTTGTGATATGGTCCCTTGTTATCCAAAAGCTAAATCTTTATTTGGGGTGGTACAAAGTCTATACACTTTATTTTCACCATCTACTAAACGGTGAAAATTTGCAAGCAGAAGACATGCATATTGATGTTGCTATAGACCATTTAAAAGGGCTCATTTCATATTTCAAAAGTTATAGAGAATCTGAATTTGAATCGGCCCTAGTTGATGCTAAAGAGATTGCAAGTGAATTAGAAATTGAACAGATATTTTGTGAAAACAGGTTATATATATATATATAGTCGATCAAGCTCTATCACCACTTCATAATAGATTTGAGCAATTTCAAAAATATGATGATATTTTTGGATTTTTATTGGATTTGAAAAGACTTAAATCTATTGAT